TTTTACAGAGGTCAAGGCTTCAGCTTGATTTTCTTTAGACTCCTCTATATATTTAGCATGCAAGTTAAAAGCATTCTTATATAAGATAGCTAGCAAGAAGGTGGCATTCTTGTACAAAAAATTTTAATAGAAGTTCTGCTTCTGCTGATGAAGTTAAAGATAGTTGGTCTAAAGAGAACAACAAATGAGTTTTCAACACGTACTTTACCAAAGTTTAAGGCTACCTACAAACTGAAACCCTCTTTTATATCCCCACTCTTAGTCTTTATGAAATTTCTCAAAAAAGTAGTAAAAATGGCGTACCCCTATTAAAAGATCAATAACAATAATCGCTGCTGAAAAAGAAAAGACATATACACGTATACATATCTACTTTTGGTTATAATATAAGATAATGTGATAACAGTTGAAACATTGCAGAAGACATGTTGATGGGATAGGATAGTATCTAAAAGTTTCAACCCTTAGAGCTCTACTTCAAGACCAGATGGTTTTTGATATTTTTACATCCTGGATATAGATATAAATAACTAGTATAGAGTTTAGTTTAGGTTATTTGTAATACTATATAATTTTTACAATCTCACACAAGTTTAATAGTGTTATTTTTGTTTTGTTTTCTTTTGTTTTTCTTTTTTTCGTTATTTATTTTATTTGGTTTTTATTAGTTTAGATGGACCAGAACTTGATGCCGTAATATTTTCTCATTTTTGTTATGTCTTTTGTATTTGTGTTTGTATTTTGTTTTGTAAAAAGAAAAGTTAATTTAGATATATTGTGTATGGCACCAGCCTATGACCAAAGGATAACCTCTAGTGAGTTAGGAACCCAGAAAGAGGCTTGAAGTCTACTAAAGCAAGTCATATCTGGCAAAAGCGTGAATATGTCACTTTATAGGTGGATTAAGTATAGCTATTATTAGGAAATATAAATTTCTTAGTATAATTTAATCTTAATAAAAAATAGCAGGACAGCTGAATTAAAAAAAAAATAATAAATTCTATTTTTAGTTATTAATTGTTACAGATTAAAATGAAATCTGATTAAAATGATATTGGAAACTTCTCATATCTACTCTTAGAGCTTATAAAGCTCACATATACTCATTTATTAATAAACCTAACCCTAAACCCTACCCCTAATGCTAAAAAGAACACCAAAAAATAACATACAAAAAATTTTAAATTTTTTTTAAAAAACAGAAAAATTTCATTTTGATCAGATTTTGTTTTAATCTGTAATATTAATTATTTTATAAAACTAAATTACTATTTATAACTATAATTACACTAACAAAATTAGATAATTTGAAATATTTATATAATAAAAATATTATATAAAAAGATATAAACTGGTTATAGATAATGCTAATATATAATAAAGCTTTAAATTATATAAATTTGAAGAACTGCAAATACAAAAAACTATTTAACAAGATTTTAATACAAATGTTTAACAAAATTACTATAGGCTAAACCCAAGAAATAAAATCTAAATAACTAAACTAGATAAAAACTAAAGGTGTTTGGCAAGACATTTGCACCAACCAGGCCACTATTCTAGACCAAAAAGTTTTTAAACCAAATATTTACTTAACAAAAATTATATTTATTATTAGTAAACCACCTTTAGAATTCTAATAATAAAATTTTTTATACAATATTACTACTAAATACTTTTTCTAACTATAAATTACGGCAAACTCTAACATAAATAAGGCCTTTTGTTTGAAGACTATTGATTTCAAAAAATCAATATAACCGAAAAATTCATCGTACCAAAATGATCTATATTAAACCAACCAATCACATTCAAGAATTTGCTAACAGACGGATTCACAATTTTTACAAGGGATTACCAAATTTCGGGTCGAAATGTATCAGAACTGGGCCGGCATTAAGCAATATTAGACAACATAATTATCAGCTAAACGTTTTTACCTAATGAATGGGCTATGACTTCATTAGTAAAATTTTGTGATCTTGGGCAAAATTAAACAATTCCTGCACATCCGACCAGGAATCCGATGCATTCCTACCCGGAATTTTGGTGATCCCCTGTATGAATTTGTCTCAACAGTTAGTTCAGTTAGTTCTTGTTTTCAAAGGGAATAATAAAAGGACAATTTGAACATTATTTTTACTAACACAAAGCGATATAAAAATTAAAAATTTGTGCATTCCGTAATTAGGGACTTCGATTAGGATGAGTCGAGTCCATGCATGTAATAATTAATAATAATAATATCAGTACTGTATTTTGGTTGATCTCGATGTAAATTAGCCAATCACATGCATGCCTTTATGGGACAGGCCTAAAAAGTCCGTGTGGAGTTCAAGGACGAGCTTTTTAACAGCTCACTAAATATTGATATCAAAATTTTAACACTCACTAAATATCGATATCAAAAAAGTAACTTTGAACTTTCTGTCAAGTTTGTGTAATAACGATGATAATGAAACGAAAATAGGATTGATAATAAATTTTGGAACAATAAAACCCAAAAATGGGTAAAAGAATGATAGATTATATAGATCTACCAGACAGCAAAATATATAACATAATAAAGACATTATGTAACTAATAAAAGACATTATGTAGCTGATACGTATAACATAATGAAGGCATTCTTTATGTAACTAATTATGATTTAGTTTGTTTCGTAAATAGGGATGTGTAAAGTCACACTTTAAACGAACATGTACGTACGTACGTGCATATGTTACAACTCATGAAATGAAAACTTGTAATTATTATTACGTAATTTTTTTATTTTATATAAATGTTTTTTTTTTTTTGAATGAATAAAAATAAGAATGCATATTATATAATTTGATAATTGCTATGTACTAAGATGTTCGTCAAAATAAGACCAAATACACATGGATTCTAAATCAAAATCTGCCACTACGATCGCGTCCGGGTACAGCATTTTCTGGTCGAATGACCTCTAAAGTTCCATCCTCCATTACCACAGATCTATTTTTAGCTCTGTCAACAAGGTAATTTTCTAAAATAACAGCATTTCGCATATTGGCTTGGTATAGGAAATCAAAGAAATCACCAGCCACGGGTACAAGCCCCAACTTTATAATGAGCAAGTTCAAAAGAAAGTTATTAAATACTATTTTGGGAAAGTGGAAAAGGAATAGCTTATTATAATAAATTTACCATAAAATCGATGAATACGTTAAAAATCATTTGACTCATGACATATTTCGGTAAACCAACTTCGTTTGCGACTCTTATTAACATTAAGGATAAAATCGTGCTCATGAAATCGCCTGAAAAAGATTCCGGCGGAATTAAATACGTGACATCATTTATAGTTTTGGACATCATTTATAGTTTGGGCACATCATTCTACTCACCAATCACTGGTACCAGTCCTTTATATGAAAAAGAAATTTAAAAAAATTCAATAATTAAAAATAATAATTAAATAATATAATTAATAATAATTAATTAATACTGTAATAATTAAATAATATAATTAATAATAAGTACCAATTATTGGATCCAAGCCAACTTTACAACAGCAACAAACACAAAATCCAACATCCAATATTTCAGCTCTTTTTTTTACTTTTTTAAGAATTTTTGCTTCTTTCTCTGTTAAGCCTGGTGGTATCTTCCATTTATTTTTTTTATTTTTTCTAGGTTTATCTGAATTTGTAGGTTGTTCCGTATGTTCTGTCGAAGGTTGTGAATCATTACTGCCTATAAAGTGTTTTATTAGAGCCTTTGTAACTTTAGTTTTAATAAAACTCATATTTATAAAGATATGAACAAAAGAAAAAAATAAATTCGCGTTTCTAGTGAAAACCGACTTTATATATGTATATTTGTGAAATAAGCCCACAAACGTTACACAACCGAATTGCGGCAATTCTTCCTAAATTACGTACTATTGTAATATTGTAAGCATTGTGTATTCAATGCTACTGACAATATACGTATGATGATTGTGTTGCTACTCTTGATTAATCAAACGTGACAAAATATTTATTTAATTAGCGCCAAAGTTATGTAACTCTAATTTAATGTGGATCGTAATCAAGATTTAACATATTTCTGTATTTATCTTGCAGAATTCAGTAAATTAATAAGTTTTAATGCTACGTACCTACATTACATAAGTTAGGAATATGGCGCTTCATAGTTATTTGGATATAAATTTATTTCTGTATTTATGCGCATATAATGTAAAGAATATATATATGATAAATTATTCATTCACAAAGAATTTATTATAATGTAAAGAATATATATATGATAAATTACTCATTCACAGAGAATTTATTATTATGTTAAAAATCTGTAACTCTCGATCCATAACTCCAGTCTCCGT